CCGGAAAAACGCTGCACATCGACCCAGCGGGCGAAGGATGTACGAATACCATTCAACGGGCAGAGCTGGCAGCAATACGCGTAGCTCTATCAACCCAAAGGGCGGTGAACATCACCTTAACAATTGCCACTGACTCGCAAGCCTCACTGGATCTTATCAAAAGAGCAGTAAACGATCCGAGTAAACTGCATATTTCCAAGCACAAAGCCTTACTAATGGACATAGCCGACCTACTGTACGAATGCGCCCAACAGAACATAACCGTTCACTTCCTGAAAGTGAAATCGCACACAGGCCTTGATGGTAATGACAAAGCTGACAAAGGAGCAACATCTGTCGCACGAGGTGAGAACCCAGCAACATTTACTGAAAAGGCCGACAATGCCCCGTTCGATAAAGTGTTCTGGCTGAAACAACGCGACACTGGTCTTTACGTTAGTGACCTGAACAAAGGCCTTTATAAGCGTCTCCAGCAAGGTACCTTCGCAGGCTATACCAACGACACAATACTAACTGAAAATGGCGTAACACCGCCTCGAAGTTAGACCCCAAATCTAGCAATTCCTTCCTTAGTAATGCAAAGATGCCACACTGGCTCAAACTGCAAGTACTGAAAGCTCGATACGGGCTGCTATTCAATGCTAAACTAAAGAAACTTTACGGACGAGGCGGAGACGGCAACTGCCCTATCTGCCGCAGCTGCGGCCCGACCGGCCCCACACCCGACTCAGGAGCCCACATACTCGGCGGGTGCCCCCACCCAACCATGAAGGGCATGTACATCAACCGGCATAACCAAGCGACGCGCACTATTGCCGACTGCGTCAACGGGGGCCACCACGGTGGTGGCTTCATGATTATGGACGCCGGTAAAGAAGAGGATCTCCCACCGTACTGCAGTGGGACGCGCGTCCCCAAATGGATGCTGCCACACTTAGCGGACGAGGAAATCCGTCGCCTCCGCCCAGACATCATGTTCATCCCCGACCTCCCCGCGCACAGAACCAAGCACAAACGGTACCAGGGGCCGGAGTGCAAATCCAAGCACGATGTATACATTCTTGAAGTGGGCTACACCAGTGACCTGCAGCACTCCGACAAACTCGAACAGAAAACCGCACAGCATGCACGGCTAACAGAGGAACTCACGAAAGCAGGCTGGACGGTGCACTACACCGAGGCGCAAATTGTCACCCTGGGAAGTACTGGGACACTAACCAACACACTAAAACCGCTACTGTGCAGACTCGGCTCGTCCGCTGAGCAGGCCCAGAAGACCTGCCTGCACCTCCACCGGCAAACAATCGAAGCAGCGGGCACGATTATCCGGGCGCGGCGAGTACTGGAGGGTACAGTCAAGTAACCGGTACAACCCGAACGGTTTCCCACGGTGGTGCGGGCATACAGGAGCGGCTACGCCGCCCCTCAGTTCCCCACCCCCTTAACACACGCCAGGCCCCGGCCGGCGTACTATTATTATTATTATTATTATTATTATTATTATTATTATTATTATTGCATGGAGGACCTGCTGTCGCGACAGGGCGGGGTAGCTAGGGCCTTGCACGTTGCGTTATTAGACGGGTTGGTTATTAGTTGGGGTGCGCGTGCCCTAGCAGGCTTCTACGCCCCCATGGGGGCCACGTGAGTCACGTGACCCGGCAACTGGCCGCTCCTTGCTTACACGCCAACCACTGCCCATCGTCCAAGGAGACAACGTAACCGAGCAAGCGAGCGAGCGAACAGCACCTAGCACAAAAGAATTGACGTCCGTTAATAAAACCAAGAATGCACGTGTTCGGACTAAGTCGGGTGGAGGCCTAATTGTTAATGTACGGACGGTGGCGGCGGAGCAAGCGAGACATGGATAGACATAAAATCGCAGTGTTTCTGGCATGCACGTATGCACACATACATGCGCTTATTTTTTTCCTGCATTATAACAAAAATCGTAATAATCACAAACAGAAATTAGCTTATCCGGGTATCCGACCGAGATCAATCGCCCCACTGTTGTTAGTACATATCGGTTAGGATTTGGCCTTGCCGGGGTGAGGCAGTGCAACAGTGTCAGCAGTTCTCACGCAGATATAGCTCTTTTCTGCTTCGGGATGTTGTGGAGCCATCATCATTTGCACCCGCTTCTTATGTGCTAGGTAACACGTGACGTGACTGGCTGCTTGTAGCACCTGAATATATTGATCATACCTAATCATACAAAAGATACGTCAATCATATATGTTCCATACATGGTCCCCTCGACTTTTAACGGATCCCCCGACTCGTGCGGAATTTGTGAAATAACCACACGCTGCAGGCACCACATCCGTCAACGTGTTAGTGTTGTTTTGACAAAAAAACACGACGCAGTAGTCGATGCAGAAGCTCGATCTGCTCACGGAATGCCAAGAAAGAAAATGCCACCGGCGTCAACATCGGCAGGCCTTGGTGGTGAGCGAGGTCCGTACATGCATCCTTCCTTGCTTGTTCGTCATCCCTCGACCTTGAATTCCACACCATTACTAATGTATGACATGTATGTGTGCAGTGAGATGCTGTGTTCCAAGCTGAGTTGGGCAATCCACTGCTGGTGTTGCATGTATGGATGGATGGATGGATACTAGTGGTAGGTGCGCGTCGGGTGCATGCTGGTAGATGCGTCTGTTGCTGGGCTGCTGGGCTGCGTCAGCGTTCTGGCCACATGGGCTTGTGACAATCATTGACGGCCGTTGCTAAGAGCAACTGGGGGTTGAGGCATGGCATGGATGCCGTCGGTGTGAAAACTGACGAAGACCTTGCTTGCTTGCTGCGGGAACGATGGTGACGACCGCCGGTCAGCATGTATGCCTCTTACGCTCTTCTTGCATGTAACCGAGCTATCTGGCGATAAGGATTTACTCTTTAAATAGGATTTAAAAGTCCTTTCCGCTCTTCAGGGCTCGCTCCGCATAATAATAATATCCGCAGCAGTTTTGTGTTCATTTGTAAAGGACAAGCGCTTAGAGCGTCAAAATTTCCGTAATGTATTCGTTGAGAAGATGCATGCTAGGCCTGTTGGAGGCTTTGCAGGTATTTGTAATTGTATGTAAAGCAGGCAGTACAAGGACGGACTGATATGCGGGGCCCGTTTCGCCATAAGCCTCACAAAGAGCGCTGCACACAAAATGCCTCAGATTTCGGTCTGTGACGACAGGGCGAAGTGTGCGTGGCCCTGTCCGACATGATACCGTCGAGAGGACGCACAGTCCAGATCCAAAGGCCAAACAAAACAAACCCAGCTCATATTATCTCCAAAACCGTTTTCTTAATTATAGGATCATTAGATCCACACGCTGTGCACCTATGTTTTGCCTCGATCGACCTCGAAGCCCGTATTGGCGGTTAATTTTAGGTAACTGCTTGGGCTGGCCGACTCCAGCTTATGAGCACGAGGTGGGGCAAAAGTTGTGAAAATAATCATCCGTTATATTCTCTTTCGCATGATTCGATGGCATATTTGCTTGGCACTCATAGTGACAGTGGTTACAGGTGCACGCAACGCAGTACGGGGCGGTACGCATCTGGACGAGCGCTCATTGCCGGTCGATACTTGCACCCATAGACCCCAAGAAATTGTGAAATATATAGGACGTGTCAGAGATGGTGGCGGTTTCATTTCGACTGCATATTGCTCCATTCAGTTGGGTTTGCTTATTCTTGTCTGCAGCTTGAATTTAGAAGCCCACCTACAACTGTAAAGGCACACTTGGTAATCATACAATATTTGAAAATGAGTCAGCCCTGCGGAGACCCCGGACAGCCGCTAGCCAGCGCTTTCGTCGTTCCTCACCCAGCAAGACCAAATGAAGATACATTTTGTATATGTCCGTTATGGTTTGGTGCACTTGGCATGGTGTCCTTCTTCGGAGTCTATGACGGGCACAGCGGGTCCGATGTCAGCCGTTTTCTGGCCACCTCCTTGCACCATTACGTTGAGGCATGCGGAATGATAACCACGGACACAGCGACTGCTCTTTGCCAGGCCTTTCAGGCGGCAGACGCTGCGCTGGAAGGGGCAATACTCAACTGTCAGGACGCTGGGTCAACCGCAACAGTTGCGCTGCTTAGTGCTGCCAATATAAGTGTTGCGCATTGTGGTAAGGTGCTATAGTTGTCTGAAGCGCCTCGGAGCTTCGGTGTCCTTTCGCTGACCAACCGCTATTGCAACGGCGCTCTAACTGCGTTAAAGTTCTTCACTTCTACGCAAGCACTGTATTCTTGTATTCTTTGTGTCAATGTCCAGGATCTGCTTTTATCCTTGGCCTTTTCCTTGGACCTTTATTGGTAAGGGCCTTCGACTTTCCATTTTCCAGGCGATTCTCGAGCGCTTCTTTGCCGCGGTGGTCATGTTGTGGCGTTAACGGAGGACCACAGGCCTGCTCGAGTTGACGAGCGAGTGCGTAACGGTAGTTAGGCGCGAAAAAGGTAGTTTGCAGGTGGTGACAGTCATACCCATCACACTTCTGTACGATTTCACTGTGAAAGAACCTAAACATATGATTTTTTCACCTGTTATTTTGAACTGCAACGAGGCACGCTTAGGCCGCCGTTATCAGTTTTGTCATGCTGATGATGTTGGCTAGGAAATTCGACGCGACGCTGTTTTTTTCAATTTCAACTATCCTCCCTCTAACAGGAGCGTGTGTTGGGATCTGGCGGCCAAATTCTCTGGAATGAGGGCGAGCGCGTGATGGGCGTCCTTGCCACGACGCGCGCGTTCGGCGACCGTGATCTAAAACAATTTGGCGTCATAGTTGAACCCGAGGTGCGGCACTTATAGGTAAAGCAAGCTTACGCGTATTTGTTGACGGCGGGCGTTCTCGGGTCGGGGCCGCATGCGTTCTCGAACAACTTAAGGCTCGCCCGGACGCTAGCTTCAACCCGAGTCACATGCCTTGGAAATTGCTCTTTCTGCTTCCCTCTTAATCTACTGATTCGGGCGGCACACGACGAAGCAATTTTCCTGGGATCCTTGCACGCGGAAGGTGGTCGGGGTCGGTGTCCTTTATTGCCTGCCGGCTTACGAGGGCAATGCTAAGCACCGAAGGTGAATTATTGCGTTAACGTTCTGAATTTTCAGGCTGGATAATGTAAGGTAGGGTAACTGTTCGTCGGGGCCCGGGGATCTTCGCAACGGAATGCAAGGATATGGTACCCAACACCCGGGAACGGAACCCGGCATGTATCTAAAACCCTCAAACGCCAAAGTCATTAAATACTAAAACCCATCTACCCATCTGATCCCGTTGCATCCCCTACACTCCACGATTCTGCACTACACTACGCGGGGCCCCGATCACATCCGCCCCACACTTTGCGGTGAACGCCGCTTTATTTAACTCCACCATCTCCCTCTCTTATTCTCTCTCTCTCTCTCTCTCTGCTTTTTCCTTTCCCCTTTTTGCCTTTTCCCCCTCTCTTTCCCCTTCTGCTTTTCCTCCCTCTCTCCCCCTTTCTCGCCGTCCCTCGCTCCGGCTGCCCCGACCCCCTTCAGTGACCCGCACCCTCCATCCCGCTTTCATTCCCACCCGCTCGAGCGTCCACCCTATCTTTGGACTACCCGCGGCAGTTGTTGCTTTGGGTGTTGGCAGTTGGGCGTTGGTAGTTGGGCGTTAGTTGGACGATAGGCGGTTCTATTGCCCCTTTCTCGTATTCCCCCCCTCAATCTCCCACCCTCGCATGAAGTCTCCTTTCTCCTCGCTACGGCGGCGACGACGACGACAACCCCCTTTGCAGGTCACGATCGTATCTCGTACCCCGGACGATGAGTTGCTTATTTTGGCAACGGATGGTGTTTTCAACGTGCTGAGCAATGAGGAGGTGGCGGATGTCGCCCGGCGCGTTGTGCGTCGAGCAATCGAACGCGGATCCCCTCGTGATGCCGCGATTCGAATGGCGGCCTCAGCAATTGGTCGTTTCAGCCGCGACCGCAATAGTAAAGATGACATCACAGTGGTGCTGGTGGACTTGCAGCCGCCGCCGTCGGCGGCGGCGGCGGCGGCGGGTCCCGGCGGACCGGTGGTGGTGAAACGGCAGCAGACGGTCACCGGCGATGGCGGCGGCGACGGCGACGGCGGCGGCGACGAGGAGCTCTTGAAATCGAAATCTGCAGCGGCAGCAGCCTCTGCCGCTGCGATCGCTGCATCGCAACAGCAACAACAGCAACAGAACCACTATCACGGCCAGCACCACTTCTACCACCGACAACACCATCCACACCACCAGCGCATCGCCATCAACAACAACAATAAATGCAATGAGCCTTATGTACCTACACATCTGCCGCATTTGCATTTGCTATTGAAGCAGCAGTACTGTGTCCCTGTGCAGTATCCGCATCTGCTGCTAAACCACCACCAACACCGCAACCACCATGACCACCACAACCACAATCTTCAGAGCTCCTCCCAGCAGCTGAGCAATAACAACCACGACCGCAACAACAGCTACAGCTCGCCACACAGCCACGCGTTCAGGGCCCCCCCGCCGCTGCCGCCGCCGCCGGCACCGGCGCCAAGTCCGGGGGCGAGCCCCGGCGCCGCCCCGGGAGCTTGCGGGCATCACATGAACCTTGGGGCGACTTGGGTGGCCGGTACAGGTGGTACGGCGGCGGCGGCGGCGGCGGCGCCGAGGCGAGGCCCGCAAGCCTGTGCGGGTTAGGAGGGTTGGATAGATACAGTGACACAGACAGGGGTATCAATGAAGTTGGTGGTGGTGAGGCAGTTGAGGAGGTCGCCGCCCAAATTGTTTAAATGGGTGGGAAGAGGATCACGGAGGAGGGGAAAGGACGAGGAAGGGGGACCCCGGCCGGCCCGTTGTACACACACAGGAGAGTTTTGTATGTCTGCATGTAAGCATGCATGCAAGCATGTATGCATGTCTGCGCGTATGTATGTATGTATGTATGTATGTATGTATGTATGTATGTATGTATGTATGTATGTATGTATGTATGTATGTATGCGAGTGTATGTGTGTATGTGTGATGGAGAGCTGGGGCTCGTCAAGCAGCTGCCGTACGTAGTTGTACGAGCGCTAGGTGTGGAGTAAGGTGTGAACGCAATCCGGGATGAAGATTTGGGTTAGAGGCGGCAGGGATGGTGGTTGGAGGGGTTCTTGTGGGTATCCGGCCCCCTCCCTGTCTTTCGTCCAATACTGCTCACAGGTCTTGACTCGGTCCTGATTCTGATCACAGGCTGATCACAGGCCCTGGTGTGTCTCCTTGTGGAGTGAATGGATGAGCGAGGGAAAAAGGGGGAATGGGTGAATGGATGGATGGATGGATGGATGGATGGATGGATGGGTGGATGGATGGGTGGATGGATGGGTGGATGGATGGGTGGGTGCATGGATGGATGGGTGGGTGGATGGGTGGATGGATGGATGGATGGGTGGATGGATGGATGGATGGCATGATCGCATTTTCTTTTCTCAGATGGCAATGCCGCATGTTGCGGCGGCGGAGCTGTGCGGGTGTAGTGTACTGAGGGAAGGGCAAGGTAATCGTTGGGTATGAATTTGTTTGTACGAGTCTGTTGGTTGTACGAATTGTTTGGTTTGGCGGCAGTAGTCCTTTCACAAGGGAATAATTCACGGGTTGGGGGTACGGCACCTGTTGGGTGTTTTACATTTGTTAAGTACGACACGCTGTGAATTGAAGGAATGCGGGAGGAGTGTGGGTCGGGGTCGGGGTGCGTGGGGTTTGGGGCGTGGCTCGCGGGACAGCTGCTGCACACAACAGGAGGGACGAGACAAGTTAAGATCGGGGGCCGCAACTCTATCCGGCCACCCCATCCCGCGGAGATCGGGCATTGGCCATGTATCTATGTATGCAAGTATGTATGTGTGTGCGTCTTTGTATGTGTGCTGTGTGTATGTGTCTCTTATCTCTCCCCCTTCCCTTCTACCCTCCTATCTCTCTCTCTCTCTCTTCTCTCTCTGTGTTGCCGGGAATGTTGTGTATGTATGTACTGGTTTTCGTTTCGATGTGCTGTCTTAGTAAGGCGGGGACAGAATTGCGGCGCGTGTATGTATGTATATATGTATGTATGTATGCATGCATACATGTGTGTTTATGTATTGATAACTTAATGCCCTGAAAAGGCTGCGTGGCCTAGCACAGAGAGGCTGAGAATGGTCGTTTAAAGGTCTGCCTTTCGGTCACCTAGTACAGCAATTCTGGTAATGTATGGCGTTGGCGGTTGTGTTGGTTGGTGTTTTGGGGGATCTGCAGCGCGCCAGGTACTTAGGATGGATTTGGTCGGGTGGGTCGATTTCCTGGTGATGTTTTTACAAGTGTTCGTGCAAGGGCTGCGAGGCTTTGTGGGGTTGTGGGGTTTGCGAAGTCCTGTTTCCATCAAATGGATCAATCGGGGCGGGGGGGGGCTCGTGAAGTCCGTGTGATGATGATGCGGCCTGAATCTACGGGATGGAGGAGTGCTGCTTCGCTTGCGCCCTGCAGTCTAGGGTAGTGCGGCCTCGCAGTGCGGTGGCCCAGGGAATTGTGGCCTTGTCTGTCTGGATGGATGGATGGATGGATGGTCTGTTTGTCTGTCTGTCTGGATGGATGGATGGATGGGTGGATGGATGGGTGGATGACCACAGAGGCATCTGTTCAATCGCACAGCTTTCTTCCCAGGAGGGTAGGGGGGGGAGGGGGTTTGCGACGAGAGGGAGAGAGAGAGAAAGTGTGCCGTTTTACTGTTTTGTTGTTGTTGTTGTTGGTGGTGGTGTTGGTGGTGAAGAGGACGGTCCGAATCGTGAACGTGTTGAAGTCTGCCAACGTAACAAGTTCTCCTTGAGGGTGGGTGATGCTTGTTCGTCTGTTTGTATGTATGGATGTACCTATCCGCGTATGTAGGCATATATATTGATGCGCAGAGCTAGGGTTTATATGACCTGCTGATGGTTGCCTCCTGCAAATGGAGCGATAGATCGCGGTACGACACATGTTGTTGCTGTGGATTTTGGTGGATCCTGGATCTAGTTCAGATCTCGCCCCCTGCGCATTCCATGGATGTCGTAGAGATCCACATTTGGATTGTCGTGACGTGTTACGAACCATGGTTTGTTGGATCCGACTGGATAGAAAAATGGATCTCCATGGTGGCCGGACGGATCCAGGTTGTACGGAAATGTACGAGCATTACCAATAACCCATCCAACAATGAGGTCGCCGCCACGCCACGAGCGGAAGGCTATGATTTGTCCCTGCCAATCACGAAACTGAATTGGGGAGTGGATGAGAACATTGGGTCATTGGGATGTGGTCAGCGCTATGGGTCCCTAAACTTTTGAGGGCATCTTCGTTTCGTTGTTCGGTTGGGGTCAATGTGTTGCTGATGGAAGTGTTAATTTCGGGTTTGGAATAAAAACTATGTTGCTGATGGAAGTGTTAATTTCGGGTTTGGGGTAAAAACTATGTTGCTGATGGAAGTGAGTGTTATTTTCGGGGTTGGGGTCAAGCGGACAGGTCCCTGTCTGCGGTTCCAAGTAAAACCCGAAAGTGAAAAAAGAATTGCTAAAGGTGTTGGATATCCAATAGCTCCCAGAGCCCCGAGCGGGCCGAGGGCGGCACAAGCGGGCGGATGCTACCGAACCTTGCTGGCCACGGGGGCAGAGGGGGGGGACGTCGGCCGCGATTGGTACCCCGTTACCTTCTCAGGCGTGTGCGCACGTGTGTGTGTGTATGTGTGTGTGTGTGTGTGTGTGTGTGTGTGTGTGTGTGTTTTGCGCCATTCGCAAACCTGCGGGGCCCTATCCGGGTGGCACATGTTAAGAAAATCACTTGCGTCTGTCTTGTGTTCTAGTATAGCTTCTGAGCACTACGGGGCGCGCAAGGCGTGCTAATGTTTTTTGCGGCCTCTTGGGCAGGTTAGTTTATATTGTGAATTGTGGTTGTCAAGGGCCCCGGTCGACAGTTGAACGGCAACCGCAGGGGTAAAGCAACCCTGTACGACAGCAGTACTTGCTGGGGGGGTGAATTGCTTAATTGTGATGATGGGTTGGTGACAGGAGCAGCACGAAACATATGAATCGGTTAGCCGTAGTGTATGCATACATGTATGTATGTATGTATGTATGTATGTATGTATGTATGTATGTATGTATGTATGTATGTATGTATGTATGTATGTATGTATGCTGTGTGTATGCGGGAGATGTCCTACGTTTTGAGTGCGACCATGGGTTTTAGACTTGGGGAGCGATTTGGCGCTTGCTCAGTAGTTTAACATGGCAACGGTTTTACCAGCCATTATTTCTATGTTTTAGTGCTCGTCCTGTCTTTGGCACTTTATGCAGTGTGTTGTATCAGGAGACACTGCCTCTGCTGTCCCAAAAATGCATTCATACACTCACTCTCTCATCTCCACGGACAATACATACCCACACGCATGACTTTGCTTGTGGGATACATAACCACTACGACATGTTTTTGTTTGTATGATTTGCACGTCTTGCACGCCTGTGCTTTTTTAGTGATGTTAAATCGCTCTGCCAAATAGAATGGTGATGAGGATGAGGAGGATCGGAACATCGGTGTGCCAAATGTAAGCGCGTATTTGCACGTGCTTGTGTGGCATGAGCGAGCATGAGGCGATGATGGTGGTGATGATGGTGGGTGCGAATGTTGGTGTGGGTGTGGATACTTTAAAAGGTGAAACATAATGTTAATCATGCCCGAATTCCGCGTGCTTCTATCTGAACTATCTATCCTGGGACAAACCACTGCTTGCCCATGTATTATGAGTAAATAGATTTTTGCTGTTTTATATAACAGCGCTTGGTGAATGCTTTCTTTGCTTAATACGATGACGTGGACGGGCTATTTCTGCTTTTTGTTATTGTCAGGGCCTCTACAGCAGGGTTTGAAACGCGAGCGTGGGCAAGGTATATACCTGTATGTACGTATGTATTTGTTACATATCATCGATCCGTGCCCGGGCGGGTCAGGGGCCAGCCGTCTTCTCAGTGAATCGCTCATGTTCAGCACCCACCACCAGCATTCAACAGAATCTGCCAGATCAACGCCGGCTCAACTCCATTTCTGGTCAGCTCGCAAGTCAACTATAAGCCACCGAAAAGGGGCACATTTGACTTCCACCCTCCTAGGGATTCCTAACAGGTTTCGATCCCAGATCCTCAAGGGGCATCGGTATGTGCGCTACCAGTAATGCCTGAACTATGTACGTCTGAACATACGGAGTACATATGTCTGTATGTAGACATTCCTCACTCTTTGTTCCTGATTAGCCTCAGCTGCGTTTCCATACAAAGGTTTTATATGTGGGCATAATGCTATGCTATGCTATGTCACAGATGCCGCCAGCCTCACGCCCTCACCTGCGCTGCCCAGCCCGGCGCCGCGCCCTCACCTGCGCCGCCCAGCCCCGCATCGCGCGTTTGCCTGCGCCACCCAGTGCAAGCAAAATCCTACCTTAGCACGCCGGTTATAGTTCGTTTGGATTGGGTGCGCCGCTTGGGGGTGGTGTGAGGAGCCTGCTGATGGCATGGATGTATGGCCCAGGCCTACCACTGGGTGGTTTGCGCTAGCTTCCACTTAGGTAGTCGCGTGTCCTTAATGGTGTATGTGGCAGGCAAGTGAGTACAGCAATACCCGGTGCGCCACGTGGACTCCTTCCGAACACATGAATCCATTCATCGTGCATAGTGCCAAAGTTCTCCTAGTTTCAGCGTCGTGTATAGTCAGGAGGGTAGGCAACTGGCCTCAATCCTAACCACCCCTTGGTCTCAATCCGAAAGTGTAAACTCAATCCAAGGGGTCTCAATCTCAATCCCCTGTTGTGTCAATCTCAATCCCCTGTTGTGTCAATCTCAATCCCCTGTTGTGTCAATCTCAATCCCCTGTTGTGTCAATCTCAATCCCCTGTTGGTCTATCTCAATCCCCCCGTGAGGCAATCTCAATCCCCTCATAGGGCAATCTCAATCCCCTCGTGGTCAATCTCAATCCCTTTGAGGTTTCTATCCCAAACCCTCCCACGTCAAGCTGACCAGCTGAAGGTTGCCTCCAAGTCGTTTAGCGCATATTATTATCTCATAGACTGGGCAAAGTCGAGCATTTTGCAAGCAGGGTATCCATTTTAACACAGGCAGGTTGGCAGGCGGTTCATTCTACAAGCATCGTACGACACTAAAGGGCCGCATCGACTTATCTGGCCCCGTACCGTTCCGAACAACGGCGCGCACACACACACCCTACGAATGAACAACAATCATGCTGCGGGGGGGGGGGCGCGTTGTTGACCCAACCCGCGAAGCTAGTTGCGCATGCCGTCAGCGCACAGTCCCCGATGCCCCTCCTTATTCACGTTACGGCACAAACGGCGACAAAAGCGTACAGGTAGGCAGGCGGTTCATTCTACAAGCATCGTACGACACTAAAGGGCCGCATCGACTTATCTGGCCCCGTACCGTTCCGAACAACGGCGCGCACACACACACCCTACGAATGCACAACAATCATGCTGCGGGGGGGGGGGGGCCCGCGTTGTTGCCCCAACCCGCGAAGCTAGTCGCGCATGCCGTCAGCGCACAGTCCCCGACGCCCCTCCTTATTCACGTTACGGCACAAACGGCGACAAAAGTGTACAGGTAGGCAGGCGGTTCATTCTACAAGCATCGTACGACACTAAAGGGCCGCATTGAACAACGGCACACACGCACAATCTCCGAATGCACAACGCCTAGATCATGCTGCGAGGGGGCGCGTTGTTGCCCCAACCCATGTAGCCTGCCATGCATGCCGTCAGCGCCCCGCCACTCTCACGTACAAACGGCGACGTTGCATCGAACGAGGCAGTAGCCTCTCGACCGGAAGGCCAACAGGTCATGCGTTGTGGGGCACTTTCTTGTACCTCGGCCGAGCGAGGACATGGCGAGGCGGATCACGGTGAGTACACTCGTGTGAGCTCAGCAGTACTTCCACAACGGAGCGCATGCTTTTGGGGGGCAAGAGATTCCTTGTTCGGCACACAGTTACTTGGTCATGCTTGCTGCCTTTCGCTGTATCTTCTGACTGTAGTGAGTTTCTTTTCCTCGACCCTCAGGAGGGCCTTGACCAAACGATGAACGGCGGGGAGAATTGCGTGAACTTGGCGCTGGTGCACAAGTACCCTGTCAATGCTGACGAGCCACCGCCGCTGGACCAGCGTGTATTCAGTGTCATCTCCGTCAATGCCAACAAGGATGGATCCATCGTGTATGCAGCAGAGGCAGGCGGGTCCAGCGACCAGGCGGTACCGGGGCTCATCTGGTGCGAGGCCTGTAACCTAGGCGTACTGCCACCCGTGCCACCACCCAACCCTTTTCCCCGCAAGCTGTCAAGTGCGGCGAGTGGTTGGTACTCAGCGGAGGCCGATGCGAGTGCGGGGGCGGGGGCTGGCGTGGCTGTTGGCGGTAGTGATAAAATGCTGGGCAAGAGGCGAGCACGGTCGATGGAACTGGCGGAGGTGGGGCCTGCCGCCGCTGGTACATCAAGTGGTGGTAGTGGCAAAGGACGAGACAAGAAGCGAGCACGGGGGCCTGACGTCCCGGCCGATGTGGCCGATGCCAGGTTCGCGTCGACTGCAGGTGGCTATAGGCCGATAGCTTCGGTGTCGTCAGCAACCGCCAATTTACGAAACCACCTGAAGACCGACACCCACAAGGCTAACCTCGCCATGATAACCTTGCGAGCACAGCAGCGGCCCGAGACCTTTAACAAGCAGCCTCAAGTCCAATTTGGGTTTGTGCGACTCGATCCTTTTCTCGTCAAGAAGGCGGAGCGAGTGCCTGTTGCTGGCGCCCCCGCCATGCAACCAGACGCGCCGGATGTGTATCAGCGCGCTCCCACTGCCACAGCCGCCCATGTTCATCCTGACCGCACGACCCCTCCACTGCCTCCGCTGCCACATTTGCGGACCCACGGCCTGCCGCCGGGCATGAACCGCGGTGTGTGCCTGCCCAGGGGTGCCGGTGTCGCCGGGTTGCAGAGGGGTGCAGCTTCAGCTCACGGTGGTAGTGGGGTGTACGGACCGGCTGGTGGCGACTATGAGGCGCCGCTGCCGGACCAAATGGGTGCTGGACGGAAGCATACGGGGCTGCTGCAGCAGCAACAGCAGCGACCACGGCCGCAGTACCGGGGGCTCCAGCGACACCAGCAGGCACAGCAACGTGGTGGAGACAGCATGGAGGGACAGCTTCAGCAGCAGTGGCGGTATCCCATACAGCAGCCACAGCACAAGCCAACGCCGCTGCCGTGGCGGCAGTCAACACCACAGGAGCAGTTGCTGGACGACACTTTCCCTGCCTACCACCAACAGGACGAACAACGGCAGCGACTGGGTTCTGGAGCCTCTGCATATGGCGCTATGGGCTCGTCGGGTGCAGCCGGCATCGACATTGACGACCCCTGGGAGGGTGATGGCAACGATGCGGGTGTAGAGGCTGAGCCGGAGGAGCACGGCATGTCTCCCGGGAGGTATGAAGACCTGCCACGGGGACCAGGATCAAGTGTGGCCTCACCCAGCGAGGACACCTTTGTGTACACGCGAATGGGGTCCGGTGAGGTCTGCAAGGGTGCGGACAAGCTTTGGCACTGGAACCAATGTCCGGTTTGCTTGGAAGACCACCTACTGACCACGTGCTGCCATTGTTACAGGGCCATCGCTAAAGTCCATATTAATAAGGTTGGCGGGATGACGTGCTATAAGTTCGGCTGCAGGGGAACGGATAAAGAGCCACATGCGCAGTACGCCTACGAGGTCACTGTCTAGTTGTGTGAGGACTGACTGCTTTCAATTCATTAGCCATTTCATTACTTCTTTGCATTTGCTCCGATTCATGAATGACGTTGTGTGCCATTACACGACTATATGTTGGCTATGTGCAGAGCACCGTACGCTGTTGCGCG